AAAAAAAAGTGATGCTTTGCGCATTTATTGAGAAATGCTTTAGGCTATTAAACCTCACGCTGCGATTAACAGGAGCGAAGAAACGTTGTGTTTGACAGTTACCTAGTAGGAATGAATATAGCTTTTTGATAATTCACAGCTTAACGGTTTACCTTGGGTACACTTTGAGTAAACATTTGTGGAATTATAATGTTAGTCATTACAACGTTTCATTATTTTATTGATTAAAAAAGGCAATTTAAAATGACACTTTGTTAAAATATTACACCATTCGCCATTTAAAAGTGTCGGTCTAATATAAAATTGTAAGAAGTTAAATATTTTTTAATTACGATGTAAAAATACTTAAACGTGTCGGCCATAGCACACCCATATCTCGTTAAACCATATTTGGAAATAAAATCTGCGCGATTAAAAAGTAATTATTAGCTTATTTGGTGCAAATTGTCTACAAGTGGGAAAATAATTAAAACTTTTTTAGGCAGGCGAGACACGAGGCGGAACCCTCTAGTTGCCTATAATTGGTGGATATTTAAAAAGGACCAATAAATTTTTAAATATTATATACTAAATTCATACGTTAGAAAATCAATAGATAATACATTAATCACGTAATGTTTTCCTTAAGTTAAAAGGGAAAGTTAAAAATAAAAGCAATTATCTCGGGGACTTGTCCATTTTACGCATTTTTGGTGTATAACAGAGAATCGAACCACACACACTCAGATTCAGATCACCACAAAAAAATGTAAATTAGTTGATTAATATATTTCGGAATTTAAACCTTTTATTGAAATGTCTTTTACTCGCGTAAACTACAGACAATATTTATTCACTACCAATATCAGTTCGTGTATTAATATGAACTCTAACATGTAATAAGCAACAGACTTAAATATCTATTCACACGGGTTCATGCGTTTCGCGCGGTTCAGACGCTCGTCAATAAAAGCCCTTAAACAGCATATCAAGACGCTGACTAATATAGCGGTTAGGTTAGGGCCTAACTTAATTCAATACATTTCATAAATGTTGTTTATTAGTCGTATTTAATAATTCATCTGAGGTTTAAATGTGAGCTATTCACTTTGCAGTGCGTAACTTCTAGATAACTTTATTAAATTACATTTATGTATAATCTGTTAACATTATATAATAAATATAACAGTCTATATTATACTTAGTTATAATTAACTATATTTAGTTGCAATATGCCAGTATTCCTATCCTCTTATGTATTTTTTTTAGACCTAAGTCTTTGTGCTTATAACTAACTATAAGTATACCTACCAACAACCAAGTTACAATTAAATGGTTTTATGTAAGAACAATCTATGTAACTATTAATTAAGCAGAATGTTTAATGTGTTGAATTAATAGTTCAGTTTTGTATGATACCTTTCACAAGCGATAAAACATTTTAACGGTTTAATATTCAATAAATAAGGCAACGTAAAGTCTTCATTAGCTTACTGCATAAAGTATCAAGTTAAGCGTTTTATCTAAGTAGTAATTTATTTAGCAGTAACGTACGAAATGAGCTTTTACATAAAATCGTTTAATAATATGAACCACCGGAGTGTAAAATGTATAAATAACTTGCAAAGATGTTTATAGGCTTATATAGAAAATGCAAATCATTAAAATTATTAGAATGATATGGGTAAATTAATTTTGTAGCTAAATATGATAGATATAAGACGCATTTAAAAAACAATATAACAATTTAAAAACGCGAATATTAGTTAAACTTATTTAAAAATGATTTTCACTACGGCTCCACGTTTCGGATGCTTGCCGCAACCGTGGTCCCGGGGACACAAAAGGACGGTGTCTCTAATGTTAAAGTCATAATTGCTACTATAGCGCCATCTGTTCCGACGTAGTTGGTATTTGGCGAACCAGCAGAATAGTAAATATTATCTAAATGTCTAGAATATACTTTTTGATGAAAATTAAAAAGACCTACCTACTACAGAGCTAGAAGACACAGATATTGCTAGATAGCTTGTGGGTAGGTACGGAGCCAAGGAAGAAAGAAAAAACATTTAATTTTGATAGGTTATATAAAGCAGGAGACAGAGTGCAGCTTATTTGAATACCATTTCACAGATTAAGAATAAATTACGAGGGCGGGACTCGAACTCACAAATACAAATCTCTTTATAGTGCAAAGAATATTGTAAGTATACTTTTGGCGTTTGGGTGTACTGGCCCCTACGCTAGTATTTCTTGTGTCGTGTTTGTCTAAGTGTTTCACGACCACACCGACCCGTGCAATTATAACATTAGGTTCTAAAAAGAAAAATAAAGTCAAAACCTTCGACTCTCAACTTGAAACCGTTTTTTTAACACTCATGTTTCTGATAAGGCGCAGATAATAAAAAGCTCGAATTCAAATAAACCAGCTACTTTATTGGTCGAAGTGTGAAAGAGTTTAGTTAACAAAGAGGTTATCTTTAAAGTGTCCTTAATTATTGATACGAAAGAAATTTATGGCGTTAAAGAACTGTTAAAACGATTTTGACACTCGCTTATCATCGTTAAGTTTATAAAAATTGATTTATATTTTAAATACAAGTCTGTAAAGGTAGTTCGCCAGAATTTATTAAAAAACTACCCGGGCTGTTGTAATAATTTGTATATGTTTGTTTATTATATAAGTGATTTTGTAATTTGAATCGGAAATAATACTGTCTATAGTTTACACGAGTAGTACACATTTAAATAAAGCACTTTAACGGTTTAAAACGCGATATATTAGTTAAACTTATTTGAAAATGTTAATTCGGAAAATTTTAACTTCGGCCCTTTTCAAATAAGTTTAGTGTTAAAGTGTTTTATTTAAATCGGAAATAAATATTTTTAAATCGATGTAAGTCACCAACCAACTTGCAACATTTTAATTACTGACGGTAGTTTACGCTATTGGTAAATATTTGAAGCGTGGTTTAGTGAAAGGGGGAAGGTGTCAATCCCCCGTGACCAAAGCTGCTATATCGTCCAAAAGGTCAGATCATAGTTTATAACAATTTCACGAATTCATATAATAATAATAATATCCGTTTTAAACCGTTATTATTCAACAATAATAATATACCTTTTTTTCTAGTAAACTATTAAATATGTACTTAGTAACTTTTTTTTAAGGCTAAGCTATTCAACACTGGCTCCAGTTCTTCTGTTTCTATACAAAATGCACGAATTCAAGTGCGATTTGAACAATCGCATGTTAACAATGCAACTATTACGTCTGCGTAGCGTGTTCTACGGCTAATTATCACTGTTTTTTAGCGAAATACGTTTCACACTTTGTGATTTCAGCGTTTTAGCGATTTGACCGTGACAATGACCCGACAGTGCTGCGTAATAACCCGACAATAAGCAACGCGATCTTTAGTGTTCGTTATTTTGCTATGCTAATTATTAAATAAGAAGTGTTGTCGGCATCTATTAGACAGATTAAGACAAAACAACCCGTGATAAGTCAATATACGTGATATCCTATTTGGGGCATTCCATGTTCCATCAAATGGCACATTCATAAAAAATGCTAGTTGCGTTCAATCAGTGGGAGACGGGATATGTTCGGTCGGGCAGGGCACAGAGTTCAGATACTTAAGAGGCGCACATCTACGTAAAATAAACGTAGTTTTCTGTCATCCTAGAAAAGGGTTCATATTTAAAAATGCGCAAATTTTTTACATGTGCAGGTAATATTACCGTACCCTACATAACAAAAAATGGTTTAATTATAATGAGGGTACTTATCTTAGATGAACCATTCTATATAAAGTTCTATAAATAATGCGCATATATTTACTACGACTTCATACATCATAATTAAGAAGAACTACTAATTACCCACCAACTTAATTAGGTGGAAAAAATAACGAGCTGTACAACTTACGTTTCTTTCTGATTGTACCCTAATTATCGCAAAAAATCTTCGCGTTGGATTATTTCTTTGTAATTTTCACGTTAACCAGAATTTTACAGCCGACGGCGTTCTAATTGTTAAATAATAACTAAGCGTTGTAACTTGTTTGTACATAGGTATCACAGGCATTATTATTTCTATAGTCTATGTCTTATAAAGCGTTCTTGATACATCTTATCCGATCTATCGCTTTGAACACTTCGTTATAACCCGTTCTTTAATTTAGTCAACCTTAAGATGATCAAAATAAAAAAAAAAACCTTAAAGCTCACTACAGGCAGTAGTGAACTTCAAGATTTAACTCTTTTAGTCTTCTTGGGGTAAACTGTGCCTACTGTAGGCAGTTTGTTTACAAACGATTTTAAACCTTTTTTTTCAAAGTTTTTAAACGATTTAAGTTCTAGATTTCATTGTATATAAAAATGCGCGCGCGAGATCGTTGTTTAGAATCCCATAGGTTTATTTGGAACTCTGATCAACATAAATATCTAATAACGATGACACATACATGTGTCTGCCCCACGCCCCACGTAGGTTAAACGGGATTTCATTCAAATCTAAACGCGATAAATTATATTTGTAAGTTATAAAAATTTATACCTAGCGCCTTTGCCGAAATTGTACAGTCCCGATAGCTTTACAAATTTATTATTTATGTATATAATGACTGTATAGGTTGAATCTTTAAATGCAACAAATTGCGATACCAACAACAATTTTTAAATTTAGTTACCTTACCTCATTTAAAGTAACTGATCCATTAAGTACAAGATAGTTAAAGTAAAAACACACTATACATCTTTGAAAAATAAAGTGTTTTATTTCTATGATTTGCCGATCAGAATAAAAACAGACGAAAAACATAATCAAACCCTCATATCCGTAGTGTTCCCATTACCAAATATTATATTTTTTTTGCACATTAAACATTAACAAATATTTCTTTTTGTTGCTTTCTCGTTTGGTTTTTAATACCGTTTGTTTACAACATAATAACAAATATAAAAGTCAACGGCAAATAAAATGCTATTTTCTTTTACAAATAAATAAACATTCTTACCTCCGGGAAATCTATGAGGAAATATCCTTCCATGCCTGTTGATTAACCACGGGTACAGTTGGTAGGATTCCCTGGGCACGGGCGCTGCTGGATGCGGGGGAGGGTGCGGTGGAAGGGGGGCTCCGAATCCCTGCTGTTGATGAGCGAGCGCCGCAGCTAACGCCGCCCCTTGGAAGTGCGCTAAGAATTGATGATGATGGCTCTGAGCGTCCAAATACGGTAGCCTCTTCAACTCGGGCGAAGGGAACACCGCCGGGAGCGCGCTGGGCCTCAAGAGCGGTCTAGGAGACGGACTGCGCGGAGTCCTCGGGGACGCGACGGGAGACGGGGAGCCCGGACTAGCCAGCGGCGGGGACGTCTGCTTCTCCGCACCGACTATACTGTCTATACTGAATCCTATCTTCGGCTTCGATGGCACCGCCACCACAGGAGTCGGTGCGAGAGGCATCATGCTTCCACAGTCACTGCAACACTCACAACACAGAACCACAATCCATCGTGACGAAGACACGTCCGCCAAGACGGCGCGCGAGCGAATGAGCCCCGGCGCGGTTCAAACGCCCGCTCGTTCGAAAAAAGAACAACATGGACGCCGCGCTCCCATTGGCCGATCTCGCGCGTTGGGTGTCGCCGCGCGGCTAAACGGCGCCCGTTAATACGCCGACTACCCTTCCATTGGCGGGCGGGAGATAGCGGGAGGTATTCGAATATAGAACCTTCTTCGGTGGGCGGTTTTGAACCGGCCAGATGGCGTGATGCGTCCGATTCGCGACGCGCCGACGGGGTCGGGGGTCTACGCGATTTGGCCGGCTACGATTCAATTAGGCGGGCGATCCTGCGAGCGCGATTCTCTTTTTTCCGTCCGCGTACACGCAAGGAGTCTTTAATTAACTCGGATGCTTTATTAGCTTAATGTATCGAGATAAAGTTTTTCATCGGTTTCCGAGTTGTGAATAATCGATTCCGCGCGGAATCGTTCGCGTCGCGGCCGGCGTCGGGCGGCAATAATTTTTATCGATAATAAAATAATTCTGGGCCGTCGCGTCGACGTCTTGTTGATTTAAATTTTAATGAAACGCGATAAGCATTGAATTTCACGCAAATTTTCCGCCATTACAAACTAAACAGTGTTTGGTAAATAGTTTGATTTTTAATTAAAATTGTTATGATTGCGGTGATTGATTTTTGTTATTACACCGATATTGGTGATTGTACAAATAATTCAATGTTTATTACGATGTCCACATTTTACACGCTGACGTCACTTCTACCCGCATTTAACCAATGAAATTGTTTTAATTATTTCGATACATGAAATTATTCTAAAATTTTGATCTACTTTCATTGTACCTAGGTAGTTGAATTTATGGACTTTACTACTATTGATAAATAGTTCCAATATGCCAAATCAACAGTCTACTTTTTCTAGTTTTCAATAGAGAATAAAGTATGTAAATATAATTAAAGCCTATCTGAATACCCGGTACAATACAGTTTAAATTGATACATAAGTATCAAAACCTACATAATATGTATAACAGAGATTACATTTCAAAAGCTACGGAAAAATAAAACTCCGTAAGTGCAATATTTGACCACAATTAGGTATTACTTAAATAATGCTTTCTTTCAAATATTTAAAGTTTTCAGACCAGTTATTTTTTCGGTTACCTATACCTATACACGGCTGTCCCTATTACCCACGCGGGGGAAATGGGCTGGATACGTAAGTGGGTGTACAAATAGCACATGAACGAACTCGAAAATAAATAAGAAGTAAATAAAACACCTTTAACGTTTTATAACGCGAAATATATTAATTAACTTATTTTTAAATTATTTTAAACTACGACCTGACTTCACATTGGCCATGCCTATGACTGCTGCATAGGTACCTACCATCCAAAACGTCAGGTCTTAATAAAATAAACTAATAATATATTGACGAATATATTTTGCGTTTAAAGCAGTTGACAGTGTTTTATTCAAATGTGTACCTACTACAGACAATACTTAAATAACAAATAAGTAGTTACCTACATACTGATCATGAGTTACGTTTGAGCAGTTTACGCAACCTTAGAAATAACATAGACAGTTAACAGTATATGATTAATTCTGGCTATAAATTAATTAAACAATACGCTGATAATTAATACGTTAATTTAAATTTAAGTACAGCATTCGAATGGGTGTTAAACCGTCGTTGATTTGAATTTATTGCAAATGTTTATGGTATTCGAAGTAAACGGTTCGTTGGGTGTGGGACGAAACCTTTTACCTACTTTAAATAAGATATTGCAGTACTGTTATGTACATACGTAACTAACCAAATTGTAAATAGTAAGAAAAAAGTTTAAATTATTATAATTGTTATAAATTGTTTACATTAAGTCTTATTACAACACAGCAGTATTTAAATAAAACACTTTAACGGTTTCAAACGCGATATATATTAGTTAAATTTATTCGAAAATTATTTTAACTACGGCCTGACGTTTCGGATGCTTTGCAACTGCCGTGGACGCAGGGAGACTGTTATATATAAATGTGAAGTCGCGTAAACTACAGACAAGACTGCAATAATAAATAATAAAATAGGGATAATATATATTTAATTAAATTAAACCACGGCCCGAGGTTTCGGATGCTTTGCAGTAGCCGTGGTGGTATTTGGCCATTTTCGCTATATACCAACTACGATGGAACACATAGCGCTGGGGTAGCAGGGTCTTATTTTGACATTAGAGACACCCACCATCTTTAGTCTCTCCGTGAGACCACGACTGCTGCAAACGCGACGACTCCGAAACGTCAGGCCGTAATTAAAGTAATTTGTAAAGAAGTTTAACAAATATATATTTCACGTTTAAAACCGTTAAAATGTTTGATTTAAATTTGTGCTACTCCCGTAAACTACAGAAATACAACTTATCATTGTTTTTCGGCCTGTTCAGCTGTTTCAGCTGACGTAAACGAGAAGAGGTTCTCGACGTTTCGCCATCACGAACGGACGGCACCGAACAGCTCGAAAAACAATGATATGCTGAACGATGGCCGTGAAAGCCTTACACAATTTAGTATGCAACTTATTCACTATTTGTTTTAACTACGGTCACGACAATCAGACAGTCTAATAGTCCCCCGTGACCACGGCTGCTGCCGGAATGATTTCTTTCCTTGTTTCATAGAATCAGATTAGCCGTGACCAAGTTAACACTTGATAGCGTAAAGTCGAATCGCATTGAACGCTGATTATCACGCCAGCGCCCATGGGCGGAACAAACGTGACTGCATTTGAATATCTGAACGATGCCTTGAGCTATGGGGACTCTTTAAATTCAAATCACAACCCAATTTTTACTTCTTTTAATAAAGTCGCTAAAAATGTTCGTCGAATTTAACAAACGAAGATTTTTTTTTTAAATCAACCTTGTCTGTTCGTCATATGTATAGTAGGCCTCATATCCGAGAGTAGTAGGTTTTTTTGCTTGGATTTACATTGGTGATTAAGCGAAAATCAAATAGACATGATTTTATAGAGTAATTGATAGTTATATACTAAAAAATGTTATTTGCTTTTTTTAAATGAACATTTTTACGCATATTTACTGCAGATTTACGAATATACGAAGGCAACATAAGTCGACAGCACATCTTGTTTAGATGTAATGGTTATTTAATCTACCATCCAGTGAATCCCACGCTTCTGTCCGCGCCAAACATAAAAAGGATTATTTTCAACTACTTATATATTGATTTTGTGCAAAAAAAATGGGAAAATATCTTGACCTTGTTAAATACCTACATATTTTATGTACCTACTGTTTGCATTCTTCCCTGTATTGCCTAACAAACGTTCTTAACAAAAAATTGCTTCCTCAATAGTTTTATTAACCTTATTATTCTTCTAAAGGTGTCACTTACTTTTGAAAACTGTAATATTTTTCACACAAAAATCTATTTAGATTGATAAAAATTATGACTTAATCCGGCATCCGCAGCTCCGGGCTGCTGCTGCACAACAAATTGTGTCTAGTTACCCTTATGTTTAGTACATATTCGCAATCAACTTAACATTAAAATATCTCGCGTCAGAATGTATGTAGTCCCCCGGTCCTGTTATCACGAAATCTTACATTATCTGTTCTGCATTTACTTAAGCCCGCACTTAACAATGATCGGCACTGTTTGTTTTAACAGCCCATAATGCAAGGTGCTAGAGGTCAATGCGATATTTTCCTCATTTTCATTCGAGATTTAAGACTGAAAATTATTTTTCGAAAAGTAATTATGAGCTGTAGGGTACTAGGTAGGGTAATCTAATTTAAATTGGTATTATTATTATGATGAAATGGACAGTCGGCAGTAAGAAACCAAATGCGTTTTCTCCTTAAATCGAAAGATTTCAACGATTTGAAACGCGAAATATACGCGCCAGACAAGACTGCAAACGGCTCCACGGTCGATAAGTTTAACTAATATATTTTATTCAAATGAGTACTAGTCGCGTATACTAAACAGTATTTAAATATTAAGATTTTTCAAAGAAACTGTATAGCTTAAGGAGGACTTAGTAAAACTTAAAATATCAATGTTACGGCATAGGGGGAAAGAGGAAATGAGTGAAATAGTCAACTATAGTGTGGACTGATCATCCAGCCTTCTCTCGGTGTCCCCAACAGAAAATGATAATATGTATTAAGTGAAATTATTCGATACACTGACGATAATTGCTAGTTCTCTATTTCTGACGTAAAATCACATTTATAACTCTCATCCAATCTTAAATCGATAATTCTAATCATTAAACGTTTAAAAATACTAAATCTGTTTCAATACTTACCTACCTCACTAAATCTATTAAACAGAACAAAAGACAACACAAACCTCTTTTTAGCTAATAAAAAAAAATAAAGATCCCTTTAATAATCTGTCAAAAGGACAACCCGCAACAGATTAAGCATTTTTAATTTCTCTTAATGACATTTGCATTTTTTTAATCTTACAGAATTGTTATAATCTGTATTGTTGGTTTGTTTGTAAAAACAAGAAAAAGGGTTAAGCCAACTTCTAGACAAATGCTTAGGTGATGCTAACGGTATTTAGAAGATATTTTTATCTTTAATGGGACTTAAACGGTACTCATTGTTCCACAACGGTATTTTAATTAAGGCGTTTTTTCGTATCGCAGTTTTTAAATAAATTTTCAGTTTTTATCACCATTTAGAAATAAAAAAACTGAAGGAATACCTAATGACGGTACCTATATAACCAAACTACATACCTAAATGAAACAAGAGCATCGTACATGTAATCTAGTATCATTTAATTGGCCTACTTTTTTTACAGACACACTTTGGCTATACTAGAATTAGAATTAGAGCAACAGCACGGAACGCCGACGATGCCGGTTCAAGTCCTGCCCGAGTCGAATTTTTTTTCAATTTA